GTTTTGGGTGTTACTCATTTTTAAGATGTAGTTGTAATTCTTTTTGTGGTTGCATGAGAAGGCAAACCCTGTCTACCTGCACCTCCATCTTGACTGGAAGTCATAAATAGAATTTTTATTTAATTTTTCCAATTGTTCATTGGTAGAATATAGAAATGTAATTTCCCCCCATTTAAATACAATTGTGCCATGAGACTTTCATGACACTTATCTGTAACCATGGTTTCAAATTTTATAAGCTTTTAAACTTCAGCTATTTCAAATATTTTAACTATGCAATTTTATACAAAGAATTTAAATTAAGATAAAGGATTTAAAACCTAAAGAAAAAACCTAAAAACCTTAAAGGATGGAGATCTAACAGGATATAGTACCTGCTTTGCATTAGATGATATATAATGTGTCTCTCAAAGCCAAAATACAAGGGTTCGGGATTCAAAGGAAAAAGTGGAGTGAAGGCTACTGTTGCCATCACACCTAATAACCAATCTCTGCAACTTTGACAGCTTGTAGTGGAAGGTGTGTGGGTAATACTGCCACAAAGTCAAACAACTATGGTTTCACTGCACCAAAAGATTAAATTCCTACCCAGTCTCCGCAGGGACTGAGGCAAATGGGTTGCTGCCCATCAGTGGGCAAAGGAAGGCTATGTGTGAAACTCAGTGGATTCTCTGAGGCACCCAATAGTCTATGATGCTCAGGGGAAAGTTAGTGGAAAACTATAGCTATGAAAAGCAAAAAAGAACATAAATAGGGCAGGGCTACTGAGGATTCAGATCCTTTAGGAATGAAGATCTATAGTATATCACCTATCAGGTAGAATCTCAACAAGCTGAGGTTCTAGTGAGTGCCAAGGAAATATATAATAAGTAGAGGCAGAAGCTACAGCCACATAACCAGTCACAGAAAAGAGTACACAGCAGTTGCATACATATCTCCCCCTTTTTGCTGGGTTGTGTGTAATTGTACAGAGTAAGCATTATCTTTTCTTCCCTCTTCATCACAATATGCATGTTTGGTTAGAGGCTAATTTTATCTCTTTATAAGAGAATTTTCTGATGGGGCTATGATTTTGGGGGAGTAATCAACATGGTCCAGTGATACATAACTGACCACTAAGATTTTGCATCTTCTAATTTTGCAGAGGGTGGGAGCATCATAGGTAAATAGCATAGTTACTTCTCATTGAAAATGGAATTCGTTGGTGGCTGCACACAAACTCACATGTGCAGCAAGTGTTGATAGGGTCAGTGACTCAGTATTGTCTCTCAGTTGCAACCTCCTCTTTGCAGGCTTTGCCAGCTGGCTGTGTCTCAGGAAAGGGTGCTAGGAAGGAATTCCTCACTGAAGAGGAAGAGGAAGGACTGATTAACTCGACTGTCTGCTTCTCATTTTTAACAGCTCCATTCTAGCAACACTTCATCTCACTGGCAGTGATAATTCCTTCCCATACCAGCAGTTGAACCCAGTACACTGTGCCAGGGCCAGGCACCACCCCCCAGAGACCTTACCTTCAAGCCAAGAAATACCACCACTAGCTGGCAGCACTTCATCAAAAGTCTGAGGCCCAACTACAGATTATATGACCATTCCCTAAATTCTGCATTTTAATAACACAATTGCATAGCCTTTGTTCCCTCAATCCAGGGAACATTGCACTTGTTAGCCCCATGATACCTTGGAACAGTAGTTCTCAACTGTGGTCCCAGGACCAACAACATCAGTATCTCCTGGAATCTGGTTAGAAAAGCAGATGCTATAGCACCACCCAGCATACTGAGTCAGTAAGTGATGATGTGACCAGGAAGCTGTGTTTAACATGCCGTACAGTTGAACCTGATGTATACTGAAGTTTGAGAACCACTGCCTTGGAGCTTTCTCACTTTACTCTTTCAGTTGTCTAGTTAACAGTATAGTACACAATTCTTTATAATAAATCCTTTCTTTAAATTGCTATTGTGGGATGCTTGACTAATGTAGTAGAATTTTAGCAATTGTTTAAAGAAGTATCAACATCAACCCTTCCAAAAAATGGAAGGGAACGTTTCCCAACTCATTCTGTGAGGTCAGCATTACCCAAACCAGAGAAAGATATCAAAAGGAAAGACATCCCTTATGAATATAGAAGCAAAAATCCTAAAAAGAATTAGTGTATTGAATCCAACAGTATATTAAAAGGATTATATACCATGACCAAATAGTATTTATCCCAGTAATGAATGCAAGGGTGAATCACCAAATGAAAATCAACCAATGTGACAGAATTATATACCATGATAACAAAGAAAACCCCCCCACAATCATCTCAACTAATGCAGAAAAAGCATCTGACAGAATCCAACACCCGTTCATGATTAAAACACACACACACACACACAGACACACACACACACACACACACACCCCAAACTAGGAATAGCAGGGAACTTCTAGCAACCTGATAAAGATATGACACCAAATGTATAAGTAACAAAACAAAAAAATTGGTAAGTTGAACTTTAGTACATGAAAGAATATGATCAAGAAAGCAAAAAGACAATACACAGAATGGGGAGAAAATATTTGCAAATCATATATCTGATAATAATCTATCATCCAGAATAAAGAAGTCTTATAGCCCTGGCTGCTGTAGCTCAATGGATTGAGCACGGGCTATGAACCAAAGGGTTATGGTTTGATTCCCAGTCAGGGTATATGCCTGGGTTGCAGGCCAGGTCCCTAGTGGGGGCCACATAAGAGGCAACCACATATTGATATTTTTCTCCTTCTCTTTCTCCCTTCCTTCCCCTCTCTCTAAAAATAATCTTAAAAAATAAAAAAGTTAAAAAAAAAAGAGACTCTTACAACGCAACAACAAACATCCCAATCAAAAATGGGCAAAAGACTTGTAGACATTTCTTCAAAGAAAATACAAATGGCTAACAAGTACTTAGCATCCTTAGTACTCAGCATCCTTAGTCATTAGGGAAATGCTAGTCACAACCACAATGAGATATTACTTTAAACCTACTAGAATATCTATAAACAACATCAAAACAGAAAATAACAAAGTGTTGGCAAGCATATGAGGACATTTAAGCCTTCCTCTGTTACTGATGGGAATGTTAAATGTGCAGCTGCTGTGAAAAAGAGTTTGACAATCCTTCAAGTGGTTAAATGTAGAGTTCCCACGTAGTCAGCAATTCCATTCACAGGTGTAAACCCAGGAGGAATTAAAACCATGTTCACAGAAATTTAGGACAAGAAAGTTCATAGCAGCATTATTAATGATAACTTAAAAATGGAAACAACCCAAATGTTCGTTGACATTTAAATGATAAATTATCAATTGATAAATTAATAAAGAAAATGTAGTGTCATACAATGGCATATTATTCAGCTTTAAAAAAGAATAAAATTTGACACATGATATAATGTAGATGAACACTGAAAACATGCTGAGTAAAGAAGCCTGACACAAAAGGTTACACATATGATTCCATTATATGAAATGTCCAGAATAAGCAAATCCATAGACAGAAAGCATAGTATTCATTTCCAGGGGATGGGAATGGGGCTATTGATAGTGATTGCTAATGGGTATGGGGTTTCTTTTTTGAAATGACAGAAATGCTCTGGAATCAGACAGTGCTAATAGCTGCACCACCATGTGAAAAAGCTAAAAACCAGTGAATAGCACACTTTGGAATGGTGAAAATGGTGAATTTTATCTCAATTAAAAATCTTACCTAATTATGAAAAATAATGCCATTTGTTATAGTGGGTAAAGAAACCACAATTTTAATAAGCAGTGGTAAAGAACAAAGATACTATCATACCATTTTTAAAATACTGGCAAACTATACATTTTAATCATTTTAAAGAAGTTCTATGGCATTAAGCACATTCAAATTATTGTGCAACCATCCCCACCATCCATTTTCAGAACTTTTCTCATCTGTCCTGGGTGGTGTGGCTTAGTGGACTGAGTGCCGGACTGCAAACCAGGGGGGTTGCTGGTTCGATTCCTGGTTGGGGAACATGCCGGAGTTGTAGGATGGGTCCTCAGTGGGGGATGCCTCAGAGGCGATCACATATTGATGTTTCTCTTCTTCTTTTTCTCCCTCCCTTTCCCTTTCTAAAAATAAATAAATAAAATCCTTTAAAAAAAGTACTTTTCTCATCTTACCAAACTGAAACTCTACCCATTAAATAACTTCCCACTCACCCTTTCCCCTAGTCCTGGAAACCACTATTGTACTTTGTGTCTAACAAATTTGACTACATACTTCATAAAAGTGGAATCATACAGAATTTGTCCTCTAGTGATGGCTGAGTTCACTTAGCATAATGCCTTCAATGTTCACCCATGTAGTATGTAGCACATATCAATCAGGATTTCCTCCCTTTCTTAGGCTGAATAATATTCCACATTTTATGTATATACCATATTTTCTTTATTCATTCACACAACAATGGACATTTGGGTTGCTTCCACTTCTTGGTTACTGTGAATAATGCTACTAATCAACACAGGTATACAAATATGTGTCTCCCCCAATGAAAAGCAGTAAAATGCTTTTTCATTTTTTTATTCTCACCTGAGGACACCTTTCTGTTGCCTTTAGAGAGAGAGAGAGAGAGAAAGAAAGAGAGAGTAAAACACCAATGTGAGAAACATCGACTGGTTGCCCTCTCATATGTGCCAAATTAATTAGGTATGTTCCCTGACCAGAAATTCAACTCACAAACTTTTGGTCTCCAGGACAGTACTCCAACCAACTGAGCCACACTGGCCAGGACAAAGTGTCCCTGCTTTTTAAAAAGATAAAGAAAGTTTACAATCTGTTATTAAAGGGAGATTTTTAAAGAAAGTTTGCTAAAAATTAAACTTTTTGAAAATACACATACATTTTGCATTAGCTTAAGGATTACCAATTTATTTTAGCTCAAATCACTGAAAAGAGAACCCAAAGATCAATGCTACTATTTGTATAAAAAAACACAACAAACAAGAAACATAGATGTATCCATTACAAATTTATTATGCATTAGGAAGCTTAACTTAAAAACCAACAACATAGTAAAAAGATATGTCATTTCTTTTCATAGCAGAATAGGTTTCAAAATATATTTTCTTCTAAATGTATTCAGTCAGTACATAATCCTTTATAAAAGTTGTATATATAATTTTTCTGTCAACACCTTCACTATATTTATAAATACAAGATTTATACAGCACTCCATCAAGAAAATTTAAAACTTCTTACAAATATCTACATATATATCAAACCTATAAAACTTTCAGGAGTGCTATGTTAAAGGTAGACCCGATTGAATGGTTCATTTATTGATTCAGCAAAATGCATATACATTTGTAAAGGTTTTTTTTTTTGTCCTTAAAACATCTCAAAAAATTAGCAGGACACTTACTGTGAAACTGAACTTCCTAAACCATCATATTTTAGATATAAATTTGATGTACACATTCCCATAAGATTCAAAACTCAGATAAACTGATGGAAATAAAGATCTATTGAAAACAAATGCATACTACAGAGAGCAGTTAAGGCAGGGGTGTGATGAATGAGAAAAACTGAGGACACTGGAGATGTGGGAAGGAACAAATAATGATGAATTATATGAATCTGAACTTGGATATAAACTCCACTGGTATCCAGTTATTAATGCTCATCCTCACTTAGGAATGTTTGCATTGTTGAAAACATTTTTAGAAGCAACGTCCAATAAAAGCACCCTCTGATTTCTATGTTGCTACCAGAATGTATGATATGTGTTTTCTTCTGTAAAATCACCTTTGGATATGACCAAGACACTACATTGAAGAATCTGATTGCTATTTCTTAATGACTTAAATTTATAAGAAAAATTTTCTTCACTGGTAAAGAATGTCACTGACCAATATTATTTAATATCCAGAGATGTATATGCTGAATTTCATTCTAACCAACAATATTAAGAAGAGACAAAGAAAAAAGATGAAGGTTAGGGTTTTGTTTGACCTTTGAACAAAGGCAATAGATCCCTGATACTGAATCTACATGCAGTCACTCATAAACACTAATGGGCAAAGTGGCCACTTTTCAGAGAAACACGAAGGAAGAAAATCAGAAGGGATTCTTTATCATAAATCCGGCCAGAGATGGCAGGACCAACAAAATCCTACACTTCTACTGAAAAGGACATGGAAAACTGCTGTCACTCTTAATCTGGAGGTGTTAAAGGAAAGCTATCTTTTTTGGAAGATACGACGTTTTCTATTTGAGTTTCAAAGTCTGGACTCCAGATAACTTTGAGAGTGGCAATTATTTGCAGCAACATATTTCAAACTTTAACTTGTTCTAGGTACAAACAGAAAGAAAAAGAATGGAAGAACCAGAGGAGGAAGAGGGAGGCAAAGGGTTACTTATCAAACTTGGCCCTAAAGGACACCAGTAGCATCTTTCCTCCAGCACCAAAGTGTGTACATGTGGTGTGGCTCCCCAACAACTTCAGAGAGATGATATCCACAGAATTTCCTTTTCTGTCAAGTTTATAGTTCAGTGCACTGACTCCCAGGGTCCTTGAAAGAAGTGAGCTCCCAGAGGCTGCTGTCTTGTAGCAGTGGCTCAATGTCCTCATCACTGACCCGTTCCGGGGTGTTGATCAGGTTGCCACTAATGCTGTTGCTATGTTTTTTAATTCCATTACTATATTCCGGGATGAATAAGGCAACCAGAAAAGACATAAGAACTATACAAGCCCCAAATAAAAATGGTGGGCCTGGGATGACAGCTCCCTAAAGGGTGTGGGAAACAAATGGAGATGAACAATTTGGTTAGTCTTTTCAAAGTGAAATTAGTTCTATATGACCCCAAAAAACCCATACCGCCTCAAAGTGAATCATTTTCTCTTGAGCAAATGTTTCATTAAGTGTCAAGGCAAATTTTCCTTGAGCCTAGAGTTTGGCATACAACAGAGGGCAACTAATTACTGATTTTTCACCACTTCTCAATATTTTAATTAAACCTATAAGTAACAGTTGGTTATCTCTAATTTTATCCTATAACCTCAGATCATGCATTCTGTACATAAACATTAATTCCTGTACAGAAATCTATATTAAATATTGCTTAGAAGGGAGGTAGGAAGAAATGCTAAATGAAGAATAGGAAAAGAACTCTAGTTCAATTTCTACTTGGAATTTTACGTCACTTTATATTTAGCCTGAGCTTTACCAGAAGACAGCATTCTTATCAGTTACTGTGTGAGAATAGAATCTGAACATAGTTAAAACAAATCTTTGATATAAGATATTAAATCACTGAAATGCTCCTTTGCCAATCCCAGGAAGCACTTAACAAAACACTCACTACTGTCAGATATAACAGTAATATTACACAAATAAGGACTCTCTCCAAATTTAAGGTGAGAAGATTTTACTACAGTCACACATAACATTGTTATAAAACTTTATCAACAAATTACCTGTAGAGCAGCATTGTTAGAATTCAATTCTGGTTCCAACTCAGTCAGTTCCACATGAAACATGTAGAATATGAAGCCATACAGTGCTGGTCCCAGGCCATTACATAGTCCTCTTATTCCAGTTATGATCCCCTGAGCAACTCCTAAATCCAAACAAAGAAGGAAGCCAGTCTTCTCTGATAAGTATCTCAAGACTGGGGACTTAGCCTAACTTTCTTACAAACTAAGATATACTGACTCAGTGGAATGGAGTACTCCATGCTAAGGAAAGTAGGTTAGGGATTTCATCCATTATATTTCCATTCATTGAACAAATGTATTCTTGGTTTTACCATGTTCTTTTAATGTTATCACTCTGGGCCTAACATCCATTGTCATCACATGACAGTGATGTTTCTAAAACCCATTAGGGGCTGAACTCCCCCCATAAAGCTAGACATTCCTATAAATGGGGAATAATAAAATGAAACATTTTAATGTTCTCCATTTACAGGCAATTTCCACTTTTTTGGTGGGTTAAGATTTTCCTGTTCTACTTATTTAACGGTGCTTTCATAATGAAAATCTGCCTTTTGCCTCTTGCAGCCTTGTCCATGTGAGCCCACTACAGTCCTGATGCTGTGTGGTCCCAGGCCCTCTGAATGGACTATGTTCATCAAGGTGACCTTCTCATCTCTGATGTATCTTTTTGCAGACCTGCACTGAAAAATCCTACAAGTGCCCATTTCTAGATATATCTGATTTCCAACATGACAGGTAAAAAATTAGCTTGAACTGTTTGAAATGCATGTTTCTCTAGGTCAAAGATAATTCAACCTAATACCATATGCAGTAATAATTTTGTATGCAGACATTTAGAAACACCTTTATTAATATATATAAGCATAAAAAGAGCCAAAGAGAATTTATGACATGAAAACAGAACTGTGTCTGTCAGGCATCAAGCACACTCATCTTCGGATGGCACACCTTCACCACTTCAGTCCCAATGCCTCTCCAGAGATGTGCAGCCAGCTGAGTTACCACGGGCAGGGACACACATGATTTGTGGTCAAGTGAAACTACTTTAAAATGTGGATGTGAATAAAATGGCTAATCTCTGATGTGGAAAAATAGGTGCAATAAATGCACCATTTTCCCCATAGTTTTTAATTAAAACTTTTAAAATTTAATCTTTATTGTATTTTTTGCATTACCATTTAGTCCCCTTTTATCCCCCATCCTCCTGCAATCACCACACTGTTGTCCATGAGTCCTTTTACTTTTTTGCTCAGTACATCAATCCCTCCCCTCCCAGCTGTCATCCTGTTTCCATCTATGAGTCTGTCCCCATTTTCCTTGTTAGTTCAGTTTGTTCATTAGATTCCACATATGAGTGAAATCACATGGTATTTGTCTTTCTCTGATTGCCTTATTTCACTTAGCATAATGTTCTCTAGGTCGATTCATATTATTGAAACTTTTTAAATGGTACTAATCCACTTAAACTTTTTGCTTTCTAAAATTTACTATTTCTTTTTTCCTTTTTTAAAAAAGATTTTATTTATTTATTTTTAGAGAGGGAAGGGAGGAAGAGGAGAGAGAGAGAGAGAGAGAGAGAGAGAGAAACATCAATGTGCGGTTGCTGGGGGTCATGGCCCGCAACCCAGGCATGTACCCTGACTGGGAATCGAACCTGCAACACTTTGGTTTGCAGCCCGCTCAGTCCACTGAGCTACGCCAGCCAGGGCTAAAATTTACTATTTCTTGACCACAGTAAGATGAGTCATTAAAAAAATGAGTCATTAAAACATGACAAAGAAAAGGATTAATTCTGGTAGTGGGAACTGCATGATGGGGAAACCAGAGACACAAGATGAAGAAAGAGTCTACATGCTTCTTTCCACATTGTCATCTTAACTTTATCTCTCACTCTGCAATTATTATAGTTGCGGAATTATCCACAACTATACAGATTTATTTTTTCCTTATCCTCTCAAAGAATCATTTCCTAAATTAAGCTAATGAACTTAGATTCCAAATTAAAGAAATTTTAGTGATTACAATGATTAAATAAAGAGCCCATTGTTTTACTAACTAGTCTGTCATTATTTAATAGACATCTGTTAAAAATATGATGATAGCCTAGTTAATTTGATGGCATCACACTAAAGATGAATAAAAAACTAAAAGGTAAAAATAGTTCTATTTATAATTCTTAGTATTCTGAACTATTGAGCCCACATTTTACATGAGTATAAGATGAAGGAAAAATAAGAGCAAGAAGGAAATCAGAACCTTCCTATCTGCAGAAGTAAATAGGTATAATCATTGAGAAGGGACCACATAGATGTGAAGAGAGGCTCAGAGCTGCTCATGTTTCTGGCAGGTATGTCTCAACTGAGGAGGAAAGCAGAGAAGTGACAGTGACCTCACCTTGCTGATCTGACTCTGCATTCTGAGAAACGAGGGCACTGACTGCCGGAAACGTGATGCTGGACATGGCCGCCACGGTCCCCGCTGCCCACATCATCCTGCAATGACATCACAGGCTGCAATCAGGTGGCAGGCCAAGTCCCAAGGAGCCTGCTGCTCAGAGTACAATCAGTGGTGAAAGCACAAAATACTTTCTGTTTTCTCATGTTAAATTATATTTAATTTTTCCTCTTTAATAACAGATTTTTTCAAACCTGGAAAGTTGTATGTCACCTTCTTACTATTAAACACTTCAAAGCTGGGAAATTCACATATTTTACTTTACTTCTTTTCAAAATCTGTTCTTCCTGACTTCCTTATTGCCACCTTTATATGTAAGCTCACTCAGTGAAGTTCAAAAAGATTTGTTTCTATAAATACAACATTTCCCCCCACCAATTTTCCACTTTTTCTTTGTACTTCCCAAAGGCTCACCTTCCTACTGCCCTTGAGCCGCTGATTTTGCTACCCCTCAAGAAAGCGTCATGTGTTACCAAAGGAAAAGAAACAAACCCAAAGTGCAGGATGTCATCCTGCAGACTCCCAAGCCTGCTTCCCTTAGAGCAGGGGTGTCAAACTCATTTTCACCGGGTGCCACATTAGCCTCGTGGTTGCCTTCAAAAGGAGCTGAAATAATTTTAGGACTCTATAAATGTAACTACTCCTTAACTGTTAAGGATTTGAAATTACATTCGGCCTTTTTAAAAAAATTACTTTATTGTTGTTTAATTACAGTTGTCTCCATTTTCTCCCCACCACTCCCGGCTACCCAAACCAAGCCCATCTCCTTCCCTTGCTTCCACTCTCCCCCTTGGTTTTGTCCCTGTGTCCTTCATAGTAGTTCCTGAAAACCCTTCTCCCCACTGTCCCCTCCCCTCCCCTCTGGCTATTGTTACACTGTTCTTAATTTCAATGACTCTGGTTACATTGTTTTTGTTTTTTTGGTTTTGTTGATTATATTCCACTTAAAGGTGAGATCATACAGTATTTGTCCCTCACCGACTGGCTTATTTCACTTCCCATAATGCTCTCCAGTTCCACCCATGCTGTCACAAACAGTAGGAGTTCCTTCTTTCTCTCTGCTGCGTAGAATTCCATTGTGTAAATATACCATAGTTTTTTGATCCACTCGTTGGCCAATGTGCACTGAGGTTGCTTCCAGCACTTGGCTATTGTAAATTATGCTGCTATGAACATTGGGGTACATAGGTTCTTTTGGATTGGTGTTTCAGGGTTCTTAGGATATAATCCTAGAAGTGGAATTGCTGGGTCAAAAGGCAGATCAGTTTATAGTTTTCTGAGGAAATTCCATACTGTTTCCCACAGTGGCTGCACCAGTCTGCATTCCCACCAACAGTGCACTAGGGTTCCCTTTTCTCCACACCCTCTCCAACACTTCTTTGTTGATTTTTTTATGATGGCCATTCTGACAGATGTTAGGTGGTATCTCACTGTGGTTTAATTTGCTTCGCTCTGATGGCTAGTGATGCTGAGTATCTTTTCCTATGTCTCTAGGCCCTCTGTATGTCCTCCTTGGAGAAGTGTTTGTTCAAGTCTTTTGCCATTTTTTTCACTGGGTTTTTTGTCTTCCTTGAGTGGAATTGTGTGAGTTCTTTATATATTTTGGGGATTAAACCCTTCTCTGAGGCATCATTGGCAAATGTGCTTTCCCATACAGTTGGTCCTCTTTTCATTTTAATGTTTTCTTTAGCCATGCAGAAGCTTTTTATTTTGTTAAGGACTCATTTGTTTATTGTTTCCTTTCTGTCCCTTACTTTAGGGAACATATCAGTGAAGATGTTCCTGCGTGGAATATCTGAGATTTTCCTGGTGATGTTTTCCTCTAGGACTTTTGTGATGTTACAACTTATATTTAAGTCTTTTATTCACCTTGTATTTATTTTTGTGTATGGTATAAGTTGGTGATCAAGTTTCATTTTTTTTTTTTGCATGTAGGTGTCCAGATCTTCAAACACCATTTGTAGAAGAGGCTATTTTTACTCTTTTATGCTTCTTCCCCTTTTGTCAAATATTAATTGACTGTAGAGACTTGGGTTTATTTCTGAGCTCTCCGTTCTGTTCCATTGGTCTATGTGCCTGTTTTTATGCCAGTACCAGGCTGTTTTGATTACAGTGGCCTTGTAATACAGTTTGATATCAAGTATTGTGATTCCTCCTGCTTTGTTCTTCTTTCTCAAAATTGCTGCAGCTATTCGAGGTCATTTATGGTTTCATATATATTTCTGAAATGTTTGTTCTATATCTGTGAAATATGTCATTGGTACTTTAATAGGGATTGCACTGAATCTATAAATATCTTTGGGTATTATGGCTATTTTGATGATGTTAATTCTTCTAATCCATGAGCATGGTACATGCTTCCATTTGTTTGTGTCTTCCTTAATTTCTTTCTTCATTGTCATGTAGTTTTCTGAGTACAGATCTTTTACCTCCTTGGTTAGGTTTATTCCTAGGTACTTTATTCTTCTTGTTGGTGTATTAACTGGGATTTTTTCACTGATTTCTGTTTCTAATATTTCATTGTTGGTGTACAAAAATGCCTTTGATTTGTGAGTATTGACTTTCTATCCTGCTGTTTTGCCAAATTCATTGATTAGGTCAAGTAGCTTTTTAGTGGAGTCTATGCAGTAGTTTTTGGTGGATTTTCTATCATGTCATCCGCAAACAATGACAGTTTTACTTCCTCCATTCCAATTTGGATACCTTTTATTTCCTTTTCTTGTTTGATTGCTGTGGCTAGGAATTACAGTACTATGTTGAATAGGAGTGGTGAAAGCAGGCATCCTTGTCTTGTTCCAAATTTTAGTGGGAAAGCTCTAAGTTTTTATCCAGTGAGTATGATGTTGTCTGTAGAGGAATGCTCCCTCCACTCCCCCTTTGCTGAGTGTTATTATCATAAATGGGTGGTGTACTTTAGCAAATGCTTTTTCCTCATCTATTGATATGATCATGTAAAATTTGGTTTTACTTTTGTTTATGTGGTGTATTATGTTTATTGATTTGGGAATATTGTACCATCCTTGCATCCCTGGGATGAATCCCACTTGGTCATGGTGTATGATCTTTTTAATGTATTCCTGGATGCAGTTTGCTGATATTTTGCTGAAAATTTTAGCATCTATGTTCATCAGTGATATTGACCTTAAGTTTTCTTTCTTTGTTGTGTCTTTATCTGGTTTTGGGATTAGGATGATGCTGGCTTCATAAAAAAAGTTTGGGAGTCTTCCGTCTTCTTGAATCTTTTGGAATAACCTGTGGAGGGTGGGAGTTAGTTCTCCTTTAAATGCTTTGTAAAATTCTCCTGTGAAACCATCTGGTACAGGGCTTTTGTGTGTTGGAAGCTTTTTGATTACTGTTTCAATTTCATCACCTGTTATTGGTCTGTTCAGGCTTTCTGCTTCTTCTACAATGAGTTTAGGAAACTATATTTTTCTAGAAATTTGTCCATTTCACCTAGGTTTTCAAACTTCTTGGCATATAGTTCTTCACAGTAATTTCTTACAATCCTTTGTATTTCTGAGGTATTGGTTGTAATCTCTCCTCTTTCCTTTCTGATTGTGTTTATTTGGGTCCTTTCTCTTTTTTTCTTGGCGAGTCTGCTTAAAGGATCATCTATTGTGTTTATCTTTTCAAAGAACCATCTCCTGGATTCATTGATCCTTAGAATTGTGCTTTTAGTCTCTATGTCATTTAATTCTGCTGTGATCTTGGTTATTTCCTTCCTTCTACTTGCTCTGGACTGTCTTTGTTGTTGTTCTTTGAGCTTTTGTAGGGTTAAGGTTATTTGAAATGTTTCTATCTTTTTTAGGTAGGCCTGTATTGCTATGAACTTCCCTCTCAAGACTGACTTCACTGTGTCTCATAAGTTTTGGATTGTTGTGAGTTCATTTTCATTTGTTTCCAGAAACTTTTTGATTTGTTCTTAATCTCATTCTTCACCCATTCATTGTTTAATAGCATGGTATTCAAGCTCCATGAGTTTGAGTGTTTGCAGTTTTTTCCCTTGGGGTTGGTTTCTAGTTTCAGTACCTTGTGATCAGAGAAAATGCTTGATATTATTTCAGTTTTCTTGAATTTGTTGAGGCTTCTTTTGGATTCTATCATGTGATGTGTCTTTGAAAATGTTCCATGTGCATTTGGAAAGAATGTGTACTTTGCTTCTTAGAGATGAAAGGCTCTCTCTCTCTCTTTATATATATGTTAAGTCAACTTGATCTAGGGCATTGTTCAATGCCACAACATCTTTGTTAATATTTTGTTTGGAAGATCTGTCCATTTTTTACAGTGGAATGTTGAAATCCCCTACTATAATTGTGTTGCTGTCAATATCTTTCTTGAAGTCCTCCAAGATTTTCTTTATGTATTTGGGTGCTCCTATGTTGGGTGCATATATATTTACAATGTTTATGTCTTCTTGATGGATTCTTCCCTTGAGTATTATGAAGTGACCTTCTGGGTCTCTTTTTATGGTCCTTTCTTAGAAGTCTATTTTGTCTGATATGAGTATTGCTACCCTGGCTTTTTTTCCTGTCCATTTGCTTGGAATATTTGTTTTCAGCCTCTCATTTTCAGTTTGAGTAGGTCTTTTGTTCTGAGGTGGGTCTCTTGTAGGCAGCATATGTGTGGGAAATGCTTTCTTATCCATTCATCTATTCTATGTCTTTTGATTGGAGCATTTAATCTATTTACATTTAAGGTTATTGATAGGTACTTATTCATTGCTATTTTTTCATACCTGTGTTCCTCTCTCTGACTCTTTTCTTTCTTTTTTCTAAAGCAGTCCCTTTAGCATCTCTTGTAGAGCTGGTTTGGTGGAGGTGTATTCTTTTAGATTTCTTTTGTCTGGGAAGCTCCGTATTTGGCCTTCAATTTTAAGTGAGAGCCTTGCTGGAGGCTCTTGGTTTGGTTGCAGGCCTCTGGTTTCCATTACTTGGAACATTTCTTGCCATTCCCTTCTGGCCTGGAGAGTTTCCATTGAGAAGTCAGCTGCTAGTCTTATTGAGGCTCCCTCTTGTGTTACTTCCTATTTTTTGCTGCCTTTAAGATTGTCTCTTCATCTTGGAATTTTGTCATTTTAAGTATGACGTTTCTTAAAGTGGGCCTCTTTGGGTTCCTCTTGATTGGGACTCTCTGTGTTTCCTGGAGTTGTGTGACTTTTTCTCTTATATTAGGGAAGTTTTCCATCATTACTCTTTCAAACAGGTTTCCTATCCCTTGCTTTTCTCCTCCTTCTGGCAACACTATTATATGGATATTATTATGTTTCATGTTGTCCTGCATTTCCCTTAATCCCTTTTCATTCTTTTTTAGGGTCTTTTCCTTTTCTTGCTCATTCTAGGTGTTTTTTTCTACCTTGTCCTCCAGCTTGCTGATCTAATCCTCTGCTTCATCTAGCCTGCTTTTGATTCCTTTTACTGTGTTCTTCAGTTCGGAAATTGTATTCTTCATTTCCTCTTGGCCCTGTTGATAGTTTTTCACGTTGATATAATTTGCAGTGAGTTCATTGTAGTTTCCCTGTAGTTTTTGGTAATTCTCTGTGAGCTCATTGAGCTTCCTTATAACTATCTCTCTGAACTCAGTATCTGACAGTTGACTTGCATCTATTTCATTTAGCATTCTTTCTGAGGCTTCCTCCTTTCCTTTCATTTGGGCATTGTTTCTTTATGTTCCCAGGGCTTGGGAGACTGTTATTGTTAGCCTCTGCTTCTTAAATTTATCTATTTTGACTCCTGGGGTTTATGGTGTGAACTTCTAGGGTAAAAGGCCTGTGAGATTCAGCAGTGCAGTCTCCTTGATCTCTTGAGGTCACTGGCCTTGGGCTGTCGTTTATGTTGGCTCTTTGTATGTCTTTGGGTTTTGAGTGTTGTTGGGTCTCTCTTTGGAGGGTCCTTCCCTCCAGCTGGTTAACTGAGGGTCACTCTGTCCACCACATCCTGTCTTCTGTTGTGAGGGTGCGGGCAGGTTGTGTTGAAGCTGGTTCTTCTGTGTGTACAAGGTTTTGAGGATTCTCTCTTGCTCTTCTTGTTCAATTGTTTGTTCTGAGTAATTTCTCCACCATTTAGTTGTATTTCCAGATAGGTCCTGGGTTGTTAGTGTCGCCTCCAGTTCCTCCCTTACCTTCTTCTTTTGTTATCTGTTAGTGGTTCCTTTGTTGGTGGGTTTCCTCTTCCAGCAGGTATCCTGGTGTTCCTGGTGTTCACAGCTTCCGCCTACTCGTCTGATTTTTCAATGTCCTCTACAGTTTTTGGTCTCCAATCTTCACATATGCTGGGATATGGATACTGTTGGCTGTTGGCTCTGTTCCTCAGAAGATCAGCTAGGTGTTTCACTTGTGTGCACAGGGAAGTGGACTCCGCTCTCACCTATCTTGCCGCCATCTTCTGAATTGAGCTTTATGTGCTGATCACAGGAGTTGGTCCTGGCTATATAAATGGTTTTTAGACCCCCAAAGTGGTTTTTCTTAGTGATATTATCCCAATCAGTGTGCAAGTGTACTCTACAACAGTGATGGAAAGTAGCAGTTTTTTCAGGGCCTATAGGGGACTACAGTGGTCCCACCTTATCCACAGTTTCATCTTCCAACGTTTTAATTACCCCAGTTCACTCTCCTTGGGAAATATTAAATGGAAAATTCCAGAAATAAACAATTCACATAAGTTTAAAAGATTTCTTTTATTTCTTCTGATTCCAGGGCTTATTCTGACGACCTTGCTGTGCACCATTCTGAGTAGCGTGATAAAATCCCAAGACATCTGGTTCCTCTCTATTTCGCCCTTTGAAGGCAACCTTGAGGCTGATGTGGCCCCTGTTGAAAATTAGTTTGACACCTCTGCTTTAGACTTTCGTCCTTTTCTCAATAAAATGAACTTAAATGTGTATCAATATCAAGCATAAGTGTGAGGAATATGAAGCCCTAAGTGGACTTAAAACCCTGCTTGTCCAGATTTCCTTGGGGATGGTGAGCATGCACATCCTTACTAAAAAGGAAAAAAGAAAAGGTTAACAAAATCTTTTTAATATAGCGTGAGTTTGACTGATTCACTTACTGAAACAAAGCTCGTAGGACTAAAATCTTAAAGAACAAGAATCATTTCCTGACCTCTAAAGCATTTATAGTTTCTGTAAATTAAGCCACGCATGTAAACTGAAGACTAACTCTAATATTTGAAATAGAGATATGAACACTGGTATTTGGTAATCAGACACACAGAGAAACTTGCCATTTAACAAAACAGCACTCAGGATTCCTTTTATTTCTTATGATTCCAGGGCTTATTCTGACCTCACTGTTTATGGGAATATAATATGTTAGGCATAATAACTGCCTCAGAGTACACATGATTTTGGAAGAGCTATTAGGATTAATCTAATTGAAATCCTTTATGTTATAAAGGTTATGTCACTGCCCAAGGTCACTCTGCTAATTACAGCAATTTAACCCTATAATTTTCCATGACTTTTTGTTTTTTGAGTGATGCCCCATAAAAACTGACAAATGTGTTTAAAAGGTAGACATTAAATTTTTGAAGAGGTTGGAGGAGGAAGCATACACATTTACTTAAGTAACAACTCAATGAAAGACAATGAGGTAAAGACAATCTATGCAAATAATCCTAAATTACATAGCTCCACCCTTCCCCAAATTAAGTCTATACAGTTTTTGAAATGTTGAACACACCAAACCATTAAATAACCCTTGCTTCCTTCACAACACACTCAACCAACTCAAGATCCTTTAAAAGATGTACCTTTCTGCTAGTTTATGAGAATCCACAAGAGAAGCTTACCAGGCCTTAGATCCAAAACCATACCAAACTAACTGGAACATCTGGAAACCCAAGCCAAGGAGGACGGTATTCTTATTCCCTAATGATCTCATCAAGATGGTAAGAAAGACTGTCTGCAAAGCAAAGGAGATAATCTTGAGAAACCACATGAATATACAGATTTGATGCAAGCAAGCTCTGTCAGAGAAACCCAGTAGTGATAACCAGGGACTGCCTTGAAGACCATTTGGTACTAATACAGTTCTAAAAGAGTTGGAACTTCAGCGGGTCTCTTACTGACCTGGGACTCAGTGCCTTTAGCCTCCTTCCCAAAAATCTGTTTTATCTCGTACTTTTCTAGCACTTTCCCAAAGAGGTAACTGGAGCCATTCACCAGTTATTATGATTGAGAGGGACATGGCCTCAGTTTCTTCTGAGAAATACCAATCACTTAGTGAATAATACTTACCACCACTGAATAGCAAGCCCCTGCTGAATATTTGCAGAATATGTGTGATTTTGCTGGAGGTTAGCAGTTTCACAAAGTTGGACTGATAAAAATTTGATTTAAATAAATATAGTTTGCTAAAAATCTAGTTGAGATAGCCTGAAAGGGTATAGGATAAAGGATGGGCTAATTGACTAACTAGAGTTAACATATAAAAAACAAATCACAAGCAACTTGAAAGTTTAACATAATTTACATTTGCTGATACAGTTTAACAACAACAAAAAGGGCCTTTGCCTTGGTACATTCCTATTAGCCTTGTCAATTCTAATATTTATACAAAAACAGTTTCGCAGTCTTCTCATTTCGCCTCTACAGAAGAGTGCTACACTTTACCTCACTTTACTTGGACTACTTTACTTTAAAGCAGTAAGTAGCTGTTTTAGGAAATAGAAGTCCCATATGATATAGTGAATGCACCTAAAGTATATCAGTGAATTAACTAAAAGAACATATATTCTACCATTTGTGGTCCTATATTTATAAGAGATGAGGAAATTTTTAGTGCTCTTTATTTACTACTTATATTCTAATGCACTGATTTGCTACATTTCTTCAGTCCTGGGGATACTCGAGATGGAAACTGTTGCTGATTTTCACTTCTGCTTTTCACTTCCACTTACTTCTCAACATTAAAATAATATTCTCCTAGTTAATTATATTTTTTGATATCTGCAGTTAGTTAACCTATAGTTGGTAGTTATGAAAGCAAGTTTTTGTTTGCTGAATAGACCCAGTAGAGGTAATGACAAGTATTCTAAAATATACTGAAAGGTTGTATTAAATTACTCCCAAATCCCAATCTTAACATTCTATTGAAAATAGAATGGTTCTGAGGATCATACACATGTCAGTTTACTGAGTCTGCCATTGTACCATATATATACAAGATGTTACCGTGTCAGGGGAATAGGTGGAACTAAGGCAGGGGCGCAGGGGATATTTAAGAAAATTTCTTTGTAGCTTCCTGATATTTAAGAACCTAGTTATTTAAGAATAAAAGTGTTAAAAAAGAAATGTCAAACAACACTCACCTGAGCCACAATAGACAGAATTCCTACCATAGCTATGAATGCTGCAATTTTAACAGATCCAAAACCTATGACCTGTGAAAATAGGGGCAGGGTGGGGGGAGAAATATTATTGTTAATACAGATATTATAAAAATAAGAAATATAGTATTCTAGTAAAGCTATAGGACTAAACAGTTGAAAAAACTTCATAACGCCTTGACAATGTCAAATTAAGGCAGTGCTGAAAGTTGAACCTAATTAACTAGTAATTTATATCTACATCTGATTTTTCAAAAAACAATACAAGCAGGTACAACTTAATTTAACAGATATTTTAAAGATATTTTGTTATATGCCTGTCTATTGTTTCATATTCCTTCCCACCCCAAACCCACCAAAAAACAAGTATGATGTTATCAAGCATTAGAGAAAATATAAAGAAAATAATATGACTTAATCTGACTTTTGATTCAGAATTTGGAATTTACTCACTAGCAAATTCAGTGGCTCTCAGCTTGGCTGTACATTAAAATCATGTGGTACAAAGAAGCAGAAAGGAGGGGAGAGCTGAGGGGAGCAATGAGGCTCTGCAACCTGTTTGAGACCAAAGAAATCAGATTCCCTGGGCCTAGACAAAGATATGTTTCAAAAAGTTTTCATGGTGATTCTAATAAGCAGGCAAAGTTAGCTGGCAATAATTTCTCAGCCTCTTAAACTTAACATAACTCTGAAATTCCTAAAACTTTTAGTTTTAAATATCAAGTTTTTTAAAAAGTTAAATTTGCAAAATATAACCAAAGACATTGAAATAGAGAACAGGCTGACAGTGTTCGGAGGGGAGAAGGGAGGGAATTTCAGGGGAATTGCAGGGGAAAGGGGGAAGGGTTTACAGGAACAAGTATAAAGGACACAAGGATAAAAAACTAGGGGCAGGTGGAAATGGGAGGGAGGAGGGGAGGGCTGGGTGGATAGGCTGGGATGGAAGTAAAAGATAGGAAATTGTACTTCGACAACAATTAAAATAAAATTTAAAAAAAAAGAAAAAAAAGAAAAGTTAAATTCTTTCCCCTGCATTAAAATTCTATAAAATTCATAAAAAGAACTTTAAAATTTTTAATAAAATAAAATCTAAAAAGACAATAGTAAATATCAATGTACCTAAGAACTAGTTTTTTGAAAGTATAAACAAAATTGACAAACCTATTTTTTTTAAGAAAAATAAAATATTTTATTTCACCTTCATTTCATCTTTTTCCAATACTGATTCTTGTTTTTGTAGATTGGAGCTCTTGACTTATATAATTTTCTTTCTCCCCTAAGAACTTATTTTAATATTTCCTTTTTAAATTAATTTTTAAAATTGTTGTTCAAGTAGAGTTTTCTACCTTTCCCCCCACCCCTCCCTATCACCCCAGACCTCCCCACCTCCCTCCCCCATTTCCACACCCCCTTGTTATTGTCCATGTGTCCTTTATAATTGTTCCTGTAAACTCTTCACACTTTTCTCCCATTATCCCCCCTCCTCTCCCCTCTGATCACTGTCAGCCTGTTCTCAATAACTATGGTACATTCACACAATGGAAAATTGACAAACCTTTAGTTAGAATAACCAAAAGAAAAAGAGAACAGACTCACATTAATGAAATCAGACATGAAAGAGGAGATTTACAACTGATACCACAGAAAGGTTTATAAGGGACTACAATAAACAATTATATGTCAACAAAGTGGTCAACCTAGAAGAAATGGGTAAATTCCTAGAACCATAAAAACTACCAACACAGAATAACAATGAAATAAAAAATCTGAACAGACTGATTACCAGCAAGAATCTTCAATCAGTAATCAAAAATCTCTCAAAAAACCAAAGTCTAGGACCAGATGGTTTCACTAGTAAATTCCATTAAACATTCAAAGAAGAATTAATACGAATCCTACTCAAACTCTTCCAAAATATAGTACAGAGGAGAATTCTTCCAAACATTTTACAGGGCTAGCATTATCCTGTTACCAAAACCAGAGGATGCCACAAAAAAAGAAAATTACCAAGTATAGGGCAATATCTGTGATGCAAAAGTGTTCAACAAAGTAGTAGCAAACTGAATTAACAGTACATTACAAAAAATCATATGTCATGATCAAGCGAGATTTATACCAGAGAGGAAAGGATGGATCATTCAACATCTGCAAATCAGTTAATGTTATACTATATTAACTAAATGAAGGATAAAGATCATATGATCACCTCAATAGAGGCAAAGCATTTGGCAAAATTCAATGTCCATTTATGATAAAAACACAACAAAGCAGGTATGGAGGGAAGGTACCCCAACATTATAAAGGGCATGTATGACAAGTCCACAAAAACACCCACACAAATCCACACACAGCTTTTCCTCTAAGATCAGTAAAAAGACAAGGATGTCCACTCTTGCCACTTTTATTCAAAATAGTGTTGAAATCCTGGCAGCAGCAAAAAGGCAAGAAAATGGGGAAAAAAAGCATCCACATTGGAAATGAAGAAGTAAAACTATCACTATTTGAAGATGACATAATAGTATACTTAGAAAATCCTAAAGACTCCATCAAAAAACTGATGGAACATATATAAATAGTCAATAAAGTTGAAGAATATAAAATATATAAAAGTCTCTTGCCTTCCTATACACTAACAACAAAGTATCAGAAACAGAAATGAAGAAAACAATCCCATTTATAATAAAAAAGAATAATAGCTAAGAAAAGCCTTTACTTTTTATTTTATTTTACTTTAATTCTCCCACCATCATTTGTTCATGTCCATGGGTCATACATATAAGGTCTTTAGCTTTTCCATTTCCTATACTATTGTTAACCTCCTCTATTTTCTACATACCATTTATGCTTCTAATTCCCTGTACCTTTTCCCCCATTCTCCCCCCACCTGTTCCCCACTGATAACCTTCCATGTAATCTCCATTTCTGTGATTCTGGTTCCTGTTCTAGTTGTTTCCTTAGTCTGTTTTTTTTTTAAGTACAGTTGATAGTTATATGTTGTCACTTTACTATTCGTAATTTGGATCTTTTTTTTCATAGGTAACTCCCTTTAACATTTCATATAATAAGGGCTTGGTGATGATGAACTCCTTTAACTTGACCTTCTCAGGGAAGCACTTTATCTGCCGTCCATTCTAAACAAAAGCTTTGTTGGATAGAGTAACCTTGGATGTAGGTCCTTGCCTTTCATGACTTGGAATACTTCTTTCCAGCCCCTTTTTGCATGCAAGGATTCTTTTGAGAAATATCTATCAGCTGATAGATAGTCTTATGGGAACTCCTTTGTAGGTAACTGTCTCCTTTTCTCTTGCTGCTTTTAAGATTCTCTCCTTATCTTTAATCTTGGGTAATGTAATTATGATGTACCTTAGTGTATACTTCCTTGGGTCCAACTTCTTTGGGATTCTCTGAGCTTCCTGGACTTCCTGGAAGTCTATTTCCTTTGCCACATTGGGAAAGTTCTCTTCCATTGTTTTCCAATAAGTTTTCCATTTCTTGCTCTTCCTCTTCTTCTGGAACCCCTATGATTTGGATGCTGGAACATTTAAAGTTATCCTGGAGGTTCCTAAGACTCTCCTCATTTTGAATTCTTGTTTCTTCATTCTGTTCTGTTTGAATGTTTATTTCTTCCTTCCGGTCCAAACAATTGATTTGAGTCCTGGTTTCCTTCCCTTCACTGTTGGTTCTCTGTACATTTTCCTTTATTTCACCTCTCATAGTCTTCACTTTTCCCTCTATTTTGTAACCATACTCAATCATTTCTGTGGACATCCTGCTTACTGGTGTTTCAAATTCTGAATCTGATAGGCTGGCTATCACATCATCACTTAGTTGTACTTTTTCTGGAACTCTGATCTGTTCTTCATTTGGGCCATATTTTGTGTCTGGGCATATCTATTACATAAGTAAGGGGTGAAGCCTTAGATATTCGCCAGGGTGGGGAAACTGTTGTGGCACAGGTTGTGGGGGAGGCATCTGAGAGGTAACAATGCCACTTTTTCAGCTCTCAGCTGGCTTTCAGTCACTTCCTCTGCTACCCACAAGTAAATTGGGCCCTTCTGGTGCTAATTCCCTGGTGAATGGGTTTGTGTACATTCTAGGACCCTGTGCGCTTTTCCAATGAACTCTCCTGTGAGGCTGGGAATTTCCTCTGCCGCCTCAACACCCAAATGTATTTTCAGTCAAAGGTTTTGAGGCTTTATTTCCCTGCATGGAACCCTGGGTTGTGTGGTCTGTCTTGCTCCCAAGTTGTTCCTCCAAGCTTATCCACAAAAAAATGTGGGACTGCCAACTCCGCCCACCTCTGCCTTTCTGCAAGTCCTCTCCACCCTGGCTACCCTTCTCTGCCCCTCCTACTGGTCTGGGTGAATGTTTCTTCTTTAACTCCTTGGTAGATTGATTTTCTGGTAGGTCTCGTTATTTTTTGTTTTTAAATTTGTTGTTTTCCTTTTGGTTGTGTGAGGAAGGAAAGTATATCTATTGATGCCTCCATCTTGGCTGGAAGTCTGGAAAAGTCTTTAAAAAGGAGGTGAAGATTGTACTCTATACTGTGAGAACTGTAAGACATTGTTGAACAAAACTGAAGACACAAAGAAATGGGAATCTCTTTCATGTTCTTGGGTTGGAAGAATAAAGGTTTTTAAAATGGCCACATTACTTATGCAAAGCAATATATAGATTTAATGCAATCTTTATCAAAGTCCCAATGGCATTTTTCACACAAATAGAACAAAAAAAACCCCTGTTAAATTTGTATAGAACCACAAAAGACCCTTGAGCACCAAAGCAATCCTGAGATAAAAGAAAGTCTGACTTTAAATTATATTACAAAGCTACAATCATAATAACAGTACAGTACTGGGAGAAAAACAACCACACAAACTAATGGAACAGAATTGAAAGCCCAGAGATAAACTCACACTTATATGGGTAAATAGTGTTCAACAGAGGAGCCTAATACATACAATGGAAAAAGGAAAGTCAAGTCTCCTCAATAAATGTTGTTGGGAAAACTGAAATTACACACACAACAGAATGAAACTAGATTATTACCTGAC